ATGGGGTACAATTTACAAATGGGGGTGAATAGGAGCTTAAATATTACAACCATATTAAATAACCATGAAAGAAATATGTGAAACATGTAAAAACAAAAGAAAATGAAATAAAAATGCATTTTTGAACATTATGTGTCGACACATGCTCTCTTGCATCGAAACATAACTTTTCCTTGCCCCTGTATTTCCAAATCAACTCAGTAAGAGTCGATGCATAATGGTATGTGTCGACTCATACCCTGCATGTGTCGACTCATACGTGCTTTGTGTCGACTCATACTTCCTTTTTTTCTTATGTTTTGGGCCTATATAGCAGTATGTATCAGCACATAAGGCTATGTATCGACTCATAACCTGTTTTTCCACTAAGATGTGTCGACTCATAAGGCTATTTGTCGACTCATACTGTTATTTTTTTCACTCTATCTTTGTTTTGCTGCATACATGAGTTAGTTATCAACACATAAATGGAAAGAATGGAAGATAAAAAAAGGTTAGCTTCAATGGGAATGGTTATTACGTTTTTAACTTCGAAGATGAATCAACTAATAATGCTTGAAATGAAAGGTTTAAAGTCAAGGAGACTTACCTTGAAACTGGAATTTGTGTCTTGAGCTTTAGTTGCTCCCGTGAGTGTTCTTGAGATTGGAAAACAGAGATGTTACAAAAGTTTGTTCTTGAGTTTGAACAACCTCTAAGTAATGTATGTGAGGTGCCTAGATGTTTGGACATAATTTGCAAAGTATGAGAGCTTCAAAGGTTTGGACTTTAAAACTCAAGAGTGGAAACTTTGTGGACTGTTACAACTTTTGTGAAAATGAGATTTTTTGAGGGTTTATCAACAAAACTTCTAGTTTTTTATCTCTATTTTTCTAACCTCCTTGTCTTGCAAATGCTTCTTCTATTTATAGGCAAGAGGTTTGTGAACAAGCTAATTTAGTTTATTAACCATGGAGTTATGGCTAGGTTGGGTTATAAATATCAAGTTATGTCATGGTCCCAAGATGAAGTACCAAAGTTGCTAGTTTAGAGGGGTTGATTTCCATTATTTATGGTGGAGTAAAATCAGAAACAAACAAGGTATCGGTTCAAGACAAGTTTTGTACAAAAAGCTTGCTTTTCAAGAATAACAATGGTGTCTTTATGCCGTAAATGGAAAGATCTTTTGGACAATGGCTTAAACACTTGGGTAATAGCTCAAGAGTGGGTGTAAGCATTAAATTCTAATGATATTTGCAAGAAAGGAGGCCTGCAACACAATATTATGCAGCAAAGCATAAGGGTTTCGTTATGTGTTCTTCACTAAAAATGACTTGCAATTCAAGAATGAACGCTCAACTTCATGCCCTTGAATCTCCTAGCTCAAGTATGATAAATTCATGATCTCGGATGTTTTGGAAAGCTTGAAACATCCTATATAACTTTCATTTTGGAAGTTTTCATTGAATCATCTTGCATCATGATGAAAAGTTGACATGAAGAAATGAAATTATCATGTATAAAAAGCACTTAGAAAAATTTCTAAGTCTTGAAAAGTTTGACTTTTCACATTGACTTTTGATTTTCTTGATTTCTTGATTTCTTGATGATCAAGTTTGATATTCTTAAATTTCTTGATGAATTTTGATCTTTGAAACTTAATGTTGACCAAAAAGTCAAAATTTGACTTTTCAGTGTACTGTTGACTTTTTCATCAGTTGACCAAATTTCATCTATCAATCCACTGATCTTGAGAAATGTTTTGAGATATGCAAAATAGGTCAAAATTATTCATTTGAATTCTTGAGATGATATTTCAAACCAATAAGTCATGTATTAGGTCAAAAGTCAATGATCAGTCGCTTTCAGTAAAAACCCTAATTTGTGGTCTCAGTGTTTCGAAGGTGATTTTGTCTGATCACTTGTTGAGAATCCTTGAGCATTGGAGACCCTTTGTGAAATGTCTTGAGAAAAGAGAGGGAAAATTTTGGGGTACAACAGCTTCTTCGTTCAATCTTCTTAAACTTGAAGAGTTAGACTGGCTGATCCGCGGTTCGTGACTTGAAGGTGGAAGATGATTGAACACTTAAGTGCCCAGAAATTTGCACTCTCTGGTGTATGAGGTGAACTATTTGTTGATTATCGGGAATAGGCTTAGATATTCCATTTGGAGAAGTGATGAATATTTTTTTGGAGATGGGCTTACAGATGCCATTCATAGTGACTGTTGGTAGAAAATGGAAGAAGTATCAAAATAAATCTTTTGGTTGATATATACTGAAACAACAGATGTTTTTTGCCTGTTTTTAACTGGAAGAAATAAATCTAACAAGAAGTGGTCTTTGACTCGCCTATTTTTAATCTGGAAGAAAAAAATCTAACCAGAAGAGGTATTTGATTCTCCTGTCTTTAACCAGAACAAATAAATCTAACCAGAAGAGGTCTTTGATTCTCCTGTCTTTAATCTGGAAGAAATAAATCTAACCAGAAGAGGTCTTTGATTCACCTGTCTTTAATCTGGAAGAAATAAATCTAACTAGAGGAGGTCTTTGTTTCGCCTGTATTTAATCTGGAAGAAATAAATTTAACCAGAAGAGGTCTTTATTTCGCCTGTCTTTAATATGGAAGAAATAAATCTAACCAGAAGAGGTCTTTGTTTCGCCTGTCTTTAACTGGAAGAAATAAATCTAACCAAAAGAGGTCTTTGTTTTGCCTGTCTTTAAATGGAAGAAATAAATCTAACCAGAAGAGGTCTTTGTTTTGCCTGGTTTTAATCTGGAAGAAATAAATCTTACCAAAATAGGTCTTTGTTTCGCCTGTCTTTAATCTAAAAGAAATAAATCTAACTAGAAGAGGTTTTTGATTCACATGTTTTTAATCTGGAAGAAATGGATCTAACCAGAAGAAGTCTTTAGATTTGCCTGTCTTTAATTGGAAGAAATGAATCTAACTAGAAGAGGTTTTTGTTTCTCCCGTCTTTAACTGAAAGAAATAAATCTAACCAAAAGAGGTCTTTGTTTAGTCTGTATTTAACTGGAAGAAATAAATCTAAACAGAAGAGATCTTTGTTTCGCCTGTCTTTAATCTGGAAGAAATAAATCTAACCAGAAGAGGTCTTTGATTCGATTGACTTTTCCTGCAAGGAAGAGGGTTAATTGCATGCAGAAGTATACACGGTGTGATGATGTTCTCAAAATAAATGAGATTATACTATGTGCATTTGTCATGTATGTGATATGATGTATGAATGCGACATGCTTATTGAAGTATCTTTGTCTAGGAAAATAAATCTTTGATAAATGCTGGGAGAGTTTTGGGAAGTTAAATCTCAGAATGCTGCTGGAGATGAAGAGTACGTGTCTCTTCGAATTTGTTTAGAATGTTTCCGCTGGGATTCCTGTTTTTCTTGTTTGAGGAGAACTCTGTTGGGGAATATTAACTTTGCTTGAGAAAAATAATTTGCGGGGAGTGTTGATTTCTGCTTGGGGAATAGAGTTCGGGAGTTTTGGTTGTCCATTACTCTACCGTGAAATTAACTCTCGACTGGGAGAATGAAAGTTGGTTGTTATCTGGTCGGGATCCAGGATTCGCAGTAACTCACTGGGGATACTGGTAAATTCTACTGGAGAAGAGGAGTTTTGTTAGTGCTTTGAAGAAGTTAAACTATTATCTGGTCGGGTCCGGGTTTCGTAGTAACTTTCGAGGATAGTAACGAATCTGTTAGGGATTGTAATGACTCTGTTGGCGACTTCACTGGGGATTAGAGGTTGCGGTCACTTGATTTGTAATAGTCTGAGAGGAAAGCTCAAGCTGGTGAATTTGTAGTCTGTTGGGGAAATAAACCCTGTTTATTTGACGATCTACTGGGGAGGTGTTTTCTTTTGACAGAAATCCTTAAGGCTTCTTCTTACGACCAACTCAGCTGGGAAGAGGGTTTTCCGGAGATTGAAACTCTGGCTGGGGATTGCATGAATCCAACTTTGTGGGGATGATGTTAATGAGATAACTATGTGGGGATATCTTAACTACATTAAAGAGATGCTTGTTACTGTTTGCAAACACACACTTGCTAATTAGTTTAATCATATTCATAAGCATAAGTTCATTCAATTTTAGTCATTGGACGTTTTTTGCACTCAAAACAGGAAAAACAAAAAAGTTTTACACTTTAAAGTATATTTTATATTGATGTTTTGCCCATGAATATGCGTTTTTGTACAGAGACATAGATCATAGTAAGAGGAAATCGTCGAAAGGAATACAAAGTGGAAACAAAAATAAATAGCCACGTGGAAGTGATCTCATTGTGTTCCAATTCTGCTATTGTCCCTATGTCTTCGAACATCATCCCTTGCCGTCGAAAGAGATTGATTGGAATGATCTTGGACTATTGAACTTGGACCTTGGTAATAAAGCTAGCTGCAGAGGTTTTGCGGGACATAGTCATACGCTTTATTCCTTAACTTTTGCCTGGACCGCTCTTTCGGGTTTTCAGTCAATCAGGATACCTTTTTTTTTGCCAAAATCGCCCTTTCGGGTTTTCGACTCGCCGGGTGTACAATTTTTAGCATATATCTCTAATTTTTGGCCGAACCTCTTTGGTTCGCCGAGATGCCCTTATTTTTGCCTAGGTATATCAATCTAACAGATCATTTTATGCGTAGTATTTTTTAACTATGCCGTATTCACAGGATATAGAAAGTCTTTGCCATCCATAATAGTCAGCATTATACAACCACCAGAAAAAACTTAAAGATGTTAACCAAGACATTCACGTGACTTATTGTAAAGTAAGAAGGGTAGTTTAGTTCTTTCAAAAACACCCAATTTTCTTTATACGATAGATTTTACCTATTATGCAATAGATAAGGACATTTTGTTTTGATATCCTTTTTATTTTAAATGGCCGTGATAAGGACATTTTGATATCCTTTGCATTTTGCACCCAGAATCCCACGTGAACCACACATTGCCGTGGAGGCGCGGTCATTCCTTGCCGTGAATTCTGCCACTTTGCAGAAATGGCGCTAGCAGCACTCTCTCTATGCCATTGCTCTTCTTCTATAACAACCTTTCTTCCTTCAAATTCCCGTCAACCCTCAACCTTTTTCCCTCATCTTCAAACTCAACCCTTCATCTCCCGACTCACCAAATCACAACCACCAAACAGCAGCTCTTTCCTTTTCCAATTTCGTCCCTCCATCCACTGCCGCTGCACTTCCCACAAGTCCAATGTCGGCTTCCAATTCGGTTAATAAACTTCTCTCACACATTTTCTCAAACACCTTATAAGCAATCTCTTACTATTATTTTTTTTGCTTCATTTGCAGTGTCACTCGTCTCTTTGTTTCAAGAAATCGATATCAGCTTTGAGGAAACCAAATCGATCTTGAGCAATGCTTCCGAACTTAGCTCGATACAACTAGATTCATTGCATGGTCACATTCTTTATTTACAGTCTCTCGGGTTAGATCGTATGTCCATCAACCAGTTAGTTACAAAGCAATTAAATGTGCTAACTTCTAATGAAATTGACCCTTTGTTAAGCTTTTTGAAAAATGAATTGCAAGGACAGCTTAAGCAAGCCAAGGTGAAACTTCTTTTATCAAAAAAGTTTTCCGATTTTCCTCACAAGGTTCAATTGCTTCTTGACCGTGGAATTGCGGTTGACAAGATTGTACATGTGCTTAACAAAGTGGATTTGTCAAAGGCAATTTGTCATAGGTCGATGGAAGAAATTGAAAGACTAATTAGTTTCTTAAAACCCTTTGGTGGTGTTGATTTGATTGTGAAGCACCCTGCAATTCTCAACTATGATTTTGATTGTCAGCTCAAACCGAGAATCAGGTTTCTTACTGAGTTAAGTGGCGGAGACGAGGATAGTGTTGGGAAAGTGCTGAATATGTTTCCTATTATCTTGAATTATAGGGTGGAACATGTTGAGGAACATATAGAGTTTTTTAGGTCTTTTGCAGACCTTGATGATCAACAAATATTTAGGATAGTGTTGGTGTTTCCAGCTATCTTCACTTGTAGTAGAGAGAGGAAACTGCGTCCTAGAATACAATTTCTCAAGGATTGCGGGTTAGACTCTGGCGATATCTTTAAATTCTTGATCAAAGCACCGGCGTTTTTGGCCATTTCGTTCCGCGAGAACCTTGCCTATAAGCTTGTGTTTTTGTTCAAGATTGGGTATAAATATAGGACGAAAGAGTTGGCAGTGGCGATCGCGGCTTCTACTAGAATAAGCCGTGAGAATATGCAGAAGACGGTGAGTGTATTATTGAATTACGGGTTGTCGTCAGAAGATATTTTTGCTATGAGTAAGAAGCATCCACCGACACTGCAGTATAATCACGCCTCTCTAGAGAAGAAGATGAAGTATTTGATAGAGGAGATGGATCGTGACATTAAGGAGTTGCTGGATTTTCCTGCATTTCTTGGATACAAGTTAAATGACAGAATTAAGCATAGGTATGAAATAAAGAAGGATTTGTGGGAGGGAGAAATGTCTCTCAATCAGCTTTTAACTGTTTCAACTGAGAACTTCACTGGTAAACCAAAAAAGGCTTCTGTAAAATCTAAACTGAAATACAGGTGAACAAATGAACTTGTTTTCCTTTTGCTTGTACATTAGTTTTGTTGTATTCCTTATGATTCAAGACCTTTAGTCCCAAAATAAGTTTACGAAAAAGAGTTTATTTTGTTGATGAATGAATAAAAAATGAAGTGACATCAAGACAATAGTGTGTTTTAGAAGTAGCCTATTTCTACTGTAAAATTAGCTGCTAACATTTCCTGCTTTGCTGTGGATATACCAACCAATCCATAAATGACCAAATCAACATTTTTTGTAACCACTATATAAGCAATTTGATTAAGAAATTATAAGAGTTTGAGCAAATAAATTTTGAAACAAGGTCATCTAAACTTTTTTATTTAAAAAAAAATCTTAAGGAATTGTTAAGAGAAATTTAAAAATTCAGTGTCGTTTTCGGTTATGGGTATGTCAAAAGGTTAAATAAGTTGAAGAAAAAATGATTTTGACGTTGGTGTAATCGGTTACGCATTTGAAGTAATCAGTTACTATCGTTAACAATTGTAACCGGTCACATGTCCGGGAATTTAGTTTTTTTTTTTTTCCTTTTATTTAACTTATGTAACTTGTATCTTAATCCATTTGTAATAGTTTTAATACTTTGGAGGTGTTGTTATCAATGTTCACTACAAGAAAAAATGTGTTTTGCGATACATAGGTTGTGACAGTTCCATGAAAATCTCCCTTCTTCGTAAGTTACGATGGTTGCCACGCCGGTTTTGGACAACCCCAATTTAATATTTTAAAAATCTTAAATATTTTACGATGGTTGTAAGCCTAACCACCATCAAAAGAAGTATGTGACGGTTCAACAACAGTCGCCCCCAAATAAATTTAATTCTTGTGTACGCCTTGGAGAAATTTAGAGTTACGACGGTTGAACAACAGTCGTCCCCAAAATATTCCTAAAACACACTTCTAATTAGAGAAATAGGAAAACAACGCTTCAATATGATGAATTTGATGTAATCGCGCATCTCTCTCTCTCTCTCTCTCTCTCTCTCTCTCTCTCTCTCTCTCTCTCTCTCTCTCTCTCTCTCTCTCTCTCTCTCTCTCTCTCTCTCTCCACATTCAAATCCTTCATTTTCACCAACCAAGTGATTCAAAGTTCTAACATTAGGCATCAAAAGCCTAGTCCGATCCACCGGACACCTAGTGTGCAACATGAACTCTATCTCCAATGAAAGAATCTGTATTGAAATTATGGCACGCACACCAAATATGTTAAGATGAATGTCTCAATATACAAGCGATGTCACAACAAACGTTATAACATCTGCTGATAAAATAATAATAATAATAATAATTGTGCAGAAATATAAGTTGTAGAAAGCTAAAGAACACAATGATATGTTAACGTTGTTTGGTGCTGATACGGTGGGAGAACTGACTTGATGTTTTACGTTTCGATCGCACTTGTGCGGTTAGCAAGAGTCGCCACCGACTTTTCTTTTATCCAAAAGGAAAGGTAAAAAAGCACAAGAAAGACCTTTCGATATTTTCTCGGGTTCGGGGGTAGATTATGAAAAGGGAAGGTATTAGCACCCTTTTCATCCATGGTTTTCCATGGGCTCTTAGTTACTCGTTTAGATCACTTGCTTTCATTTGATAGTGTGCTTGTGGTGTGGGCTTTGAAAGTATTTTGAAAGATCTCTTTATAATGGTTCTCGTCTCTATAAGAACGTATACAAAGTTTTGTTTCGAAGAGTAGTTCAAAGATGTGTTTGTGAATCGTGTTTCGAAAAGTGTTTTGAAAAGATATTTTGCAATGGTTCTCGTCTCTATAAGAACGTATACAAAATGTTTTGTATTTTGAAAATATTTTGAAATGAGAGTGTAGGTGTAAAGAGTTTTTATCGTGAGCAAGCGAGTAACTAAGAGCGAATCTATCTACTCGAAAGGTCTTGAATTGTTCTTTTCTTCCTCCTTTTAATGGTGCTATCTTACCATTGATTTGGTAAAAATCCCCATCGTTAGATGTAAAGGGACAGGCACGGGTCAATTTTACAATCATTGAAAGCAATTTGTGAGACGTTTTAGCAATTTTTATAAGGGACTAGATCGTTTTATCGAAGGCAACATCGAGGGTCATCGAGGGACTACGATTTTTTTTATCGAAGGGTCATTTGCTAAAGCATCTCATATTCGAGGGACATGATTGTATTTCCGAGGCAACGAGCGAGGTTACCGTAGAGGTGCGCGTGTGAAAAAGTGTGTTGGTTTCAAGTTATTTTATTCTTTGATTAGGTCATCTAGCGATTAATTTTTGAATCTTGCCATACACGCCTAATTACTATACAGTATATGGAAAATAGTAAATTGCGGGAATTGAAATTCTACGCTATTACAAAATATTCGGGAATGAGGGTACAATTGTTACAAATGGGGAATGAATCAAATGAGACAAGAAGGTCCAAATATCAAACAATACAACCAAATCGAATTTTGTGCGATTTAATTAAAGTTATGATGATCCATGAAAATAAAATTAACAAAATATGAAATACTAAATAAAAAAAAGAAAGGTAAAACCTATTCTAAAAAATAAAAATAATTGATTAAATTAAAATCTTTATTTATTTTTTGTATTTTATTAACTATGTAAATGACAAAATAAATTAAAGAAATGACAAAACTAAGTCCTATTATTATTTTTGGGGTTTTATTATAGCAACTAAATCTAAAACAAAATTTAATAAAAAAGGAAAATGATAAAGATTAATTTACAAAACTTAAATCAAATTAATAAAAACGTATTTTATGTTTTATTTAGTAATTTTGTTAACAAATAAAATAAAAAAAGGAAACAAATTAAAAAAAACAAGAAACATGGCCTTATGGAAATTTAGGGATGAGGCCCAAAGAAAAGGGTGTTGTTCTTGCTGTAACCAAAACAAAACAAAGGGGGGGGGGGTATGGCCAGCGAAACAGATGGGCTTAGGGGAATTATGAACAAAACAAAGCCTAAGTCTTAAACACACTTAGTTGTCTGATTAAGAGAGAAAAGTGAAATTAGGGTTCTTGGAATGTTGTGGTTCACATCGGCGCTCTCATCTCTTTCGTTCATCCCTTCCATTCTTGTTGAAACCTCTGAATAAATTCACTAAACGTTCATATTTCCTTTGGCGAACGAAATCACTCTCTCCATCTTTATCTCACCATGATTCGCGTTTTTGAAAACCCTAAGTTCGGATTTAAACCTAAAAACAACGAAATCGGTTCGTCTGATCTCCCCCCCCCCCCCCCAAACTCTCAGTTGCCTGAACGGTTGTCTTCGCCTCCCTAATCAAATGCTAACGACGTTATTTGAAAAAAAAGGGTAAGGTTCTGTTACCTTTCGAAACTTAACGATTTCAATGATTTTTTTTATCTTGTTCATGTTTTCTGCTAATTAAACTCATGATTTTAGATGCAGAGAAATGTGATTATGAGAAAGATGAAGAATCCATACCTGTTGGAGTTCTTTCTGTGATTTAGAAAGGGAGAGGCGAGACGGTGACCGTGTTCCGTGGTGGCGGAATTTGCACGAGGGGGAAGAGATGATGATGAAGGCGTGATTTTTTTTTGGTAACTTTCTTCTGTTTTCTTTGTTGAATGATGAGGATTACTGTTTGATGGATTTTGGGATTTTTGTGATTGTTTTGTTGGATGGCTAACTGGTCTTTGGAATTTTGGTTTTGCTACTGTTTTGGCCTTTGAAACTTGTTACAAGTTCTTTTTTGAGTTTGATGATGTTTCTGTCTTTGGTCGTTTGAGGCTTATTGATGTTGTTGGGTTTGATAATTTTTCTGGTTTTTTTTCTGAGTTTGAGGTTTGGATGGTTAGCAGGTTTGGATGGTTAACAGTTTTTTTTTTGAGTTTGTTGATGGTTACTGTTTTGGTTGGTTTGAGACTTTGACAGGTTTTTGCTTTTGTTGATGGTTCTGATTTCTCAGTTTGAGATTTGTGTTTTGTTGGCTTTGTTACAGTTTTGGTTTGAGGATGGCTACTGGTTGTTTGTTCACAGGTTTGGTTACATGTTTTGGTTACAGGTTTTTTGGATATGTTGATGGTTTACTGGTTTTTGGAGTTTTGGTCTTGTTGACAGTTTGGGAATTGGATATTGTTTCTGTGAGGGTTACTGTTTTATCAGTTTCAGACTTGTGTATATTTGGTTTGACAGGTTTTTGATCTTGCTACAGGTTTGTGACTTGTTGATTACTGTGTTTTGAGGTTGGATGTTGGATTTTTGCTGTTTGAGACTTATGTGTTTCAATTTGAGGCTTGGTGATTTTGGAGGTTTTTTGGTTTGTGAAACTGTTGCAGGTTTGGTTGATGGTGGGATGCTTGTGTTTTAGTTTTTTGAGTTGGATAATGTTTCTATCTCTTTTGCTTGAGAGTTGTGTCTACTGTTATATTGGCCCTGCTTCTGTTGAATTCATATTCAAAATGGTGGGAAACCCACCAATTGAATATTTTCAGTATATTGTTCATATGGCCTTTTTGTTGCAGTTTTGTTTTTTAGCATATTCTGTGCAACTTGTGACAGGCAGGGCAGCAAAGCTGTGCATCCCAATAACCTAGGTGACTTCTTTCCTCTCTTCTCTCTCAATGACAATAGGAAAGCAAATTGCTTTTTGCCCCTTTTTTCCAATTCTGAAAAGTTTGCAAAGGAAAATGGAAAATGATGACTTTATGAGCAAGCTTTGTTATTTGACTTAGCTATTTGCTTTATTTGCCATGCTGCTGCACTGCTTTAGCTTTTGTTGATGTTGTTTGCTTACTTGCCATGTTGCTACCTCGTTTTTGTGACGCTGTTTGCATTTTGTTTGGACAAAGCTGTTTGTTGTTTACCATATTGCTGTTTGTTTGGTTCTGTTTGCAATATTTGTTTGGGCAATTTTGCAGTATTTGTTTTATTCAGTTTTGCTGTATTTTGTTTGGACAGTTTTGTAGCATCTCTTCTTGTTTGGACAACTTTGTAGCATTTCTTGGACAGTTTTGTAACATTTGCTTGTTTGGAC